GCCTTCTTCTTACCTGGCTCATGTGATGAAATGGCCCTGGGCCATCCTGGCACTCTGCCTTCCTTGTTCTGTTTCTACGTAATACCCGACCTGGCCTGGCACTGGTGTGAGGATCCACGCTGTTACTTTGTCCCGCTGCTGCCCAGGACGACTGGCCTCTTGTGAGTAAACTCCCTTAAAAACCCAATTAACCTAATTAACCCTAATAAAACCTATTAAGAACTAAGCTGGTATGAGCCCCTCTTTCTTTGTCTGCCACCTGATGATTGGCATAATTGGGGCAGGGCAATCTTCTGTATGAATCACTCCCACTCCGAGGGTCTTCCCTCGCAAATCACCTTGTACTTCATAACTCCTACACGTGGATTTGTGTTTGCTCACTTTATGTTGACTCTGTTACGTGTACCTGTTGTCTCCCTGTTAGCACGCAGGGATTGTCTCATTCTCTGTCCTCGTATCCCCAGTGCCTAGCACAATGTCTGGTACATGGCAGGCACTTAACAAATGCTTGCTGGCTGACAGAGAAATAATTACACCGGGGTTTCTGTCCTCGGGGAGCTCACCAAATACTACAGCGAGTAGGTAAATGTGGTCCCTGATCAATAGAACAGAAATTAGATCATGGCTATGACTACATATATAAAGGTCTGAGATAAGATGAAGGAGAAATCAAATTAACTGCCCAGAAGGCTAACAGGCCGGGAGCAGCCAAAAGAATCAGATGACGGTTAAAAATAATCCCTCGCACTTGGCACGGTTCTCTTGGCACTCTGGGGTTCTGAGGAACTTCACAGTCACCCTTTAAATTTAGCTTTTACTCTAATTTTCACCTCAGCTTTATGTGAATAAGGAAAGGACAGGAAGGACCAGGGCTCAGCTGAGGAGGGAAGAAATGAGTCACAACAGATGGGCTGGCCAAGGTTACACATGGTCAAGCACCATCTTATGCCACAAACATTTGCCTCGCACTATTCATCCATCTGGGGCAGCTAGGTGGCCCAGTGAATGGAGTGCCGGGCCTAGACTCAGGAAGACCTGAGTTCAAATATGGCCGCAGATCCTAGTTGTGCGACCCTGGACCAATCACTAAGCCCTGTTTGCCTCCATTTCCTCATCTGTCAAATGAGCTGGAGAAGGCAATGGCAAACCACTCCAGGATCTTTGCCAAGAAAACCCCAAATGGGGTCATGAAGAGTCGGACATGACTGAAAAATGACTGAACGACAAATTTATTTATTTATTCAACACACACATAGTAAGCCCCTACTCTGTGCAGCCAGGGGAAGGCACAAGACTTTCTCCTTGCCCAGGGCAAGTCTGCGGTTCTGTTGCCCAGACCAAAACCAGGATTCATATTGTTTCTAACCTAAGACCACTTAGTGCCCACTGAATGTTTGCAGCACTACCCCTATGATGCTTGAGGAAGGACTTGATCAAACCCATAGAACTTAGCAGCAGAACCCAAGACAGCACAGACCCAAACAATACAAGACCACGGAGTTCTCTCTAGAATTGCAGAGTTCCTAGCTCCCACACAAAGTTATAAGGCTGGAAGGAGAAAATAAGAAAAGACTCCCATGGGAAAGAATTGACAACAAAGCACAAACCCCAAAGATGAGAATAACTGCAAAAGTGTACGTGAGGACTCAAGGAAAATGAAAAGCCTGGCCGCAGGGTCAATAAGAATGCCCAAAGGAAATGAAGCGAGACTTAGACACAGCCTTATAAATGACATGAAGGTAACAGAGGAAAGAACTGGAAAAGAAATGAAAATGTTTCTTAAAAGGTTGGAAAATGAGCAGATTAATGAATACTCTGCTCGTTGACAGGCTAGGGAATTGTTCAGAAAATGTAATCCGAAAGATTATCTACGGTGGAATTCTAACTTTGCACAGGAGAAGGCCAAAATAGAAACACAGTCCACATGGTTCCCGTTCTTCACTCGTGGCAGTCAGAAGGAACTTTACCAGAGCACATAGAAAAGAAGCAAAAGCCAGAAACCATTGCATATGCAACAAATACTTTCAAATGTCGGGCTTCCTTCCCCCCTGCTTCTGAGGCCGAGTCAATCTGCAAAACTCCTCGCCTTCCTGAGCCTCTCATCTGGAAAAGGCCTCCTTCAGCTTCATGCGGGCAATGGGCCCTCTGCTAGACGCCACGGTGGGCACTCGCAACTTTCGATCCATTAAGGGAGGCAAAAAGACGACCATCACATGTTCTCAGAAGAATCTGTGGATTCTTTCTTTGACTTTGTGATTGGAGGCTTTTTTCCTCCGTAATGAGCATTCTGGAAACTAAGCGATGGATAACACTGCTGCTCTAGGGTGCAGAAAACCACTCTAAGAACTCAGTGTTCTCCCAAGGGCGGATGTCTGATTTAGAAGTATTTCTATTCATAAATTACACATTCTCTATCATCTGGTACCGGGCAAACCTTAAACTTTTCCTGTCTATTAATGGGCTGTTATGGATATAGCTATAGCCAGGCTAAGATTATGGCATCTCCAGACTTGGAGAACTGCATTCCTGATTAAATGGTTTCCTGTGTGACAAATCACATGGAAATATGCCTATATGATCCACACAAATATACACATGTATACATACATGTACACACACATACACAATGCACACACACACACACACACGTACATGCACACATTCCTATGTAGGGTCCCTGATGCCCAATGCCATGCCTCACCATGGTGTGGTGACCCTGGATTCTTACAGTCTTTCCCACAGAAGCTTGACTCTTGGCTCCCTGCACAGTAACAGACCCTTAGTAGTTGTCTGAGGACCAGCCTAGTTGACTTTAGAGAGGTATTTAAACCAGATGACAAAAATTTTGGCTAAGGGTTTGAGCTCTACACTGGCAGAGGCATGAGTGAAACCACAGATCTTCTGAATTACTGGAGCATGAAAACATACCTCATTTGCACACATACTCTCTCTGCCACGCATCCCCAGTTGCTTATTTCTGTGTTTTTATCTCAGACTTGCAGGGGGGTTGACTCCCTGGACCACTGACCATCTCTTCTCCTGGTGCTCCCTGACCCAAGCCCACGGGAACACTCCTGAATGTAGCTCAGGACCGCTAGGACTGCCATCTTGCTCCACATCTGCAGAGAGGGATACTTACCGATCAGCACTTGGCCACTCTTCATGGCTGGGCCTCCTGGGAGTAAGCCGTGTACTACGAGTTTCGCTCTGTTGGCGCCTTCGGCTTTTCTCCTCCATTTAGACTGGTGAATGATTCCCAACAACACTTCCAGAAGCTTGAGATGCTCTTTTGCTTTTATGACTGTTGCGTTTTTGGGGTTTACAAAGACAGATACGTCCTTGTACTGCTGCTGAAGGATGATGCCCATTTTCTGAGTGGGCTGATGCTTTAGGATTGATACTGGTGCACTGCTGTTTTTTTTATTGTAACGCTTTGGCAAAAGTCTTCGGCTTTTCAAAATTTTGGAAAACTTCTTGAGTCTGGGTTCATATTTTCTTCCTTCTCTGAGATAATCCTCATCAAAGATGATTTTATTTTCACTGAACCTCACATGGTTCACAGCCGGCGCTTCTGGGAGGAGACTTTCTTCTTCACTGTCACTCAGCTCTAGATAAAATAGCTCCCCGTATTTCTGCACACTGTCCGACCATTCAGCCTCAAGGTCACTGTGAAAAAGAAGAAAAGATTATACCTGGAGAGCAGCCAACAACAAGACAAACAACTTTTCCAGGTTTTGTCTCAGAATCTTTAAGATTCCATTGTCCCTCAGAATTCTAATTTATTAGAACTAAAGTTTTGTGAGGAACCAGAGAGCGAGAGAAACCACTCCCTTCTAGGAGGTCAAGTGGCCTTTTTCAGTGTCCTTAGTATTCAGCCATTTCATTGAACCAGAGATGAATAAGCATCTCAGGAGGACTTGAGTTCAAATCCTGCCTCAGACACTTACTGGCTGTAGGACCCTAGGCAAGTCACTTAACCTATCTGCTTCAGTTTCCTCAACTGCAAAATGGGGAAAATAACAGCACAGGGTTGTTTGGAGGATCAAATGAGATAATATTTGTAAAGTTCTTAGCACAGCGCCTAGCACATAGCAGGTGCTATTTAAATAGCTATAAATTAGCTATATAATTATATAGAAATGCTATTTCCTTCTTTCCTCCTTTCATCCTGATCTATATCTTACCACTGGACCCAGATGGCTCCGGAGGAGAGAATGAGGCTGAGACTTTGCACAGGCCTCCCTCACTTAAATCCAATTCACTTGCAAGTCATGGCACCATCTTCCTGATGTCATGGTCCTCTTTGAGAACAAAGGACAAGCAACAACCTTCCCCCTATAGAAGTAAGGAGGTCTCTTCCTTTGGACATCAAATATTCATTTGGGGCCATGTCTCCCTTACACTATTCAGCAATACTCTCAGTTTGATTAGATGTTTATTCAAGGCCATGACCCATCAGTTGAACCCTATGAACATTGAGAAATGACTTACGTCTATGAGGTGACAAGGTGATGCAGTGGACCTGGAATCAGAAGACCTGAGCCAGAGTCCTGTCTCAGCCTCAGTTTCCTCATCTACCTAACCAGGTTGCTTGTGAGGATCTAATGAGTTAATACACATAATGTGCTTTTTGAACCTTAAGAAACATGCCATTATGTAAATCCTCTCTGAACCCCGGTTTCCTCATCCATAAAATGTGGTGGTTGAACTAGACGCCTTCCAATGTCCCTTCCAACTTTAAATCTATGGTTCTATGAGCCAGTTTGCATCCACGAGAACGAGACCTATAATTTGCTAGACAACTCTCATAGATGATGGTAGGAAGACAGTAAACCACATATTTCCTAATTCATCATGTGAATCAAAATATCTTTCTGAGAAGTGAAGCAATGAAAAAACATAACTTCTAGAAATACAGGAAAAAAATAATGATTTTATAGCATCAATTTAAGATGAAATCAATCTACTCAAAGCAAAATTTACAAACTGCTTTCCCTTTAATAAAAACTCGATACAGCAAAATCATCCAGGCAGAATCCTCTCAGAAACACAAGCACTAATAGGAGGGCACAAAATGGTATAATTTGTATTCTGATCATTCAACCAACAGAAAATATAGCTACTTTCTGTATCAGCCATTAGCAATTCTACTCAAGCCTGAACAGAAAGGTCAGAATTTTTCTTTAAAACTCTGTTAAAGAAATGAGAGAAAGTAGCAGTTTAGCTGTATTTGCCAACCACAGACTGGCGCAGCTGTCAAGAGACCAGTTTTTTCGACAGTCAGAATGCTAAATTCCAACCTTCCAAGGCCAAAGAGTCCTTGCTGTTTTCCCTTGTCATCACCAACAAATCTTCAGTGATAGAATCTCAGTGGGAGGAGGGGAGGCCCAGTGACTGTCAGGCTAGCCCACACCTGACCACAATCAGCACTAGACAAGAATTCTTCCAGCCCGGAATGGGACCCCTCCAGGAAAGCAAACCTACTTCCCGCCATGGGGAGCTCAGCCTCGGGACAGCTCTAATTGTTCGTGAATTTCTCTTTATATCAAGCCTAAATTTGCTACTCTGCAGCTTCTACTCATTTCTCATAGTTCTTCCCTCCTGGGCCAGGCAAAACAAACCTAACCCTTCTTCTCCATGACAGCCTGAAGACCAATGTTACCCTCTGAACACTTCTCTTTCCCAGGCTGGCTCAACCAGTCCTCATATAGCCGACCTTGAGGCCATTCACCATTTGGACACATTTCCGTTTATCAATGTCCTTCCCAGAATGTAGAGCCCAGAATCAAACACAATATTCTAAGGTAGCATTTATATAGGGAGTCAAGGTTTGCAAAGTGCTTTACAAATATTATCTCATCATATCCTTGAAACAACCCTGGGAGGGAGGTATGGTTATTATCCTCCTTTTTACAGATGAGGAAACTGAGACTGACAGCAGTTAAGTGACTTGCCCAGAGTCACACAGCTAGTAAGTGAGTAAGGCTGGGTTTGAACTCAGGTCTTTCTGATTCCAAGTGCAGCGCTGTGTTATGCACTGAGCCTGCTAGATTTGATCTGATCATAACAGAACACACCAGGACTAGTCCCTCCCTGGTTTAAAACACTTACCTGTTTTGCTTGACTATACATGTTGATAATAGGGGTGCTATTTTTTTCTTGTTTTCTCAATGTAGGGGGAAAGCAGGTGGGAAGGACAGCAGGATCTTTGTTTGAATATAAAATAAAATTCAATTTTAAAGTACAGAAAATGAAAGAGCCACAGGAAGACGGTGACATACAGTAATAAAGAAACAGACTTCTAAGAACGTTCATAGTGTACCTGAAGTCATTCCTCAAGAGCTAAGAATCTCCCTCCCCAAACACTCCCCACCTCAGTGAACCCCTACCATGGTCATTCAAACCCCATTCTCTGTCCTCATCCCCATCCCTATTTACCTAGCCCTTATTCCTACCCCCCTTAACCCAAACTCCTCCCAATTGGTGAGCACCCCCCGCCCCAGTTCCTTGGTTTTTGTCACCACAAATTTTTTTTTCTATAAATATTTTTGTACATCCTTGGTTAGAGTTTGTTTTGCTTAGGACTAATCCCTTCCTTACTCTATTCTCCTTTTTATTCACCCCCCTCTCTCTCTTTCCTATTTTCCTGTTGAGTGGAATGTATTTCTGTATCCAACCATATGTATTTTCTCCTCTTGACTAGCTCGGAGGAGAGTGAGGTCCTTGTATCCATAGATTTCTTGTACACTTGGATCGTGTGAGATAAAGTCTCCCATCCTTCTTCTATCCTTTCCTCTCTTCTTTTAAGATGACCAAAATGTAACAACGCCCCTCCTTGGCCATCTGTCTCATTAGATTTCCTCTATGACCTTGACGACAACTGAGTTTTGAGGGACGCGTGAATCAGCCCTGCCCGTTAGAATATAATCACTTATCCTGGGATATCCTTAAGGGTAGGCTTCCCTTTGTTCTGGGGTTCCTGCCCTGGTTAGTCCACTGTAGGCTTTGGCCCGAGCTGGAGGCTGGCACTGAAGACGCTTGGCATCTGAGCCACACAACTGTTGCCTGGTTGTGCATCTTCTTCCTTCTCACTGCACAGCCCAAGACCCTGGACCACTGCCCTGAGACACAGGGCCCCTCCTCAGGTGGGATTTGTGACCTGAAACCGGGGAGAGAGCCACAGAAGGGCCAGTCCACGTTGTCGCTTTTCGCTGTGGAGCCTAGCTTCTCCCTGCTCTGCGAAGCCTTTCTCGGCTCAGGCTCAATCCCCAGAGCCTGCAGACCTCTCTGTCTGTCTCCCCACATGATTCTCTGTGATTTTTTTCTTTGACAGCACGGCCCTTCTTCTAGCCAAGGTCAACATCTCCATCTGTGCCTTCGACCCTATCTCCTATTTTCTTTGGCAGATCTTCCCTTCAAGCATACCCCTCCCCCTTCTTCCATCTTTCTCCGTCTACTGGTTCCTTCCCTATTGCTCTCAAATGGTCCCAAGTCAGTCCCACCCTTAAAAAAAGCCCTCACTGGGCCCAACCATCCCCTCAGGTTATGGCCCTCTACCTTCCCTTTCTCAGGCAAAATCCTAGCTGCTACACTTGTTTTCTGCACTTCTCCTTTCACTCACTCCAAAATCTTTGAATTCTGGTTTCCAGTTCTTTTGAAACTGCTCTCTCCAGAGTCAGTCTCTGACAGCTATCAGAATCTCTCTCTTTCTTTAAATTATTTTATTTTTATGGAATAAGACAAGTATCTCCATAACATAGTATAACAGAAAAAGATGGATTGCACATGAAACTACAAATCTATTATGTACAACTTGCTATTTCTTTTAAACATATATAAATATATTTCTATATTTCTATATATTATACAAAATATATTAAATATAAATAAATATAAAGTTTTCATGTAAATTTCTTTCCCCCCCTTTTTTCTTCCCTCCCACTCTGCTCTAGAGATGGCTACCATCAGACACATATAGATGTACATGTGTGTGTGTATTTATACACACATATTATATATATATACATATCTGTAAAATTATTCTATACATACTTCTATCACTTCTTTCTCTGGATGCAGACAGCATCTTTCTTCATCCGTCCTTTATTTTTAATTTGTGTATTTTATAATAGACAAAATAAATTATTTACTCAAAGTCATTCTTAAAACTATTGCTGTTGCTGTATACAATGTTCTCTTGGTTCTGCTCATTTCACTCTTTACCATATATATGTATATATACACACACATACACACATACATTCACATACATGTATGTCTTTCCATGCCTTTCTAAGATTATTGACCTCAATAATAATCTCTTAATGATCAAATCCAGTGATCTTTTTCTCAATCCCCATCCTTCCTGAACTCCACGCTGACCCATCTCCTCCTGGATACTCTTGTTTCTCTGCGTTTCTAAGGCCCTTTTTCCTCCCAGTTCTCCTACCTATCTGACCACTCCCACCTTTTCTGTCCCCTTGACTGGCTTACCATCCATAGCAAGCTCATACTTGGAGGTTGCCCTGTCATTGTTGTACCACTGAAACTCAAAAGGATGCCCAGAGTCGACCATAGACGTCCTAGGAAGATTCTGCTTACCCGACACATTTTTACCGGGCTAGCATTTTCGTGATATACAGCTATTTTTAACCAGAAGTTTTCTACTGCTCATGACTTTACTTTTTTTACTTTTTATATAAAAAAACCCTATTTCCTCATAACCGGAGAGACTCTGCTTGTTGGCTCTCTCTACGTGTGAATGAAGATATATTCCTAATAGAATTATCTGTGCCTCCCAACAGTTCTTCACTTTGTGGCACAGTCCCAAGGAGCTTCCCTGACAAAATCCCCTAACCGTGGACGATCCAAGGCTCTGTGCTAGGCCCACCTCTCTCTCAGTGACCCTATCAGTTCCCTAGGTTTTAATTAGTATGCAGATGACTCACAGATTCACATATCTATCCTAAATCTGAGCTCCAGGTCCATTTCATCAATTGCCCACAGGACATTTCCAAATGGATATCCCCAAAGCATCTCAAACTCAACATGGACAAAACCGATCCTCCTTTCTTTCCCTCTGTCAAACATCTCTACCTCTGTGGGAACCATGCTACTTTTCTACACTCTCAGATCCACAACTCCAGTATTACCTCAATTCCTCACTCCAATCAGTCACCACATCTGGGCATCCCTGCCTTCAACACACGTTTACCAACTGACCCCTTCTTTCTACCACAGCCACCATCTTAGTTCAGGCACTCACTGGCTCCCACCTAGACAACTGCAATGGTCTTCCTGTCCAAGGTCTCTTCCCCCTCCAGTCCATCTTTCACACAGTTGACGTGACTTTATGTAAGTGGAAATCTGACTACGCCAGTCCCCTACTCAATAACATCTAGTGGTTCACCATTGCCGCTAACGTAAAATAGAATTTCCTGTTTGTTTTTAAAGCCCTGTAGAACCTGATCTTAATCTGTCTTTCCAGCCTCATTATACATTATTTCCCTTAATGAATGATCAAACCAGACTGGACTTCTCTGTATTATTTACACAGAGCAGTCCATCTCTCATCTCCAGGCCTTTGCACTGGCTGTCCTTGATACCTGGAATACACTTCCTCGCTCACTTCCCATCTCCCAGTATGTTCCATTTTCTTCCTGACAAATCCTTCTATGATTGCCCTCCATCTCCACCTTGTGTCCACACTGTATGTATTTATTTTGTACATACTTATATGTGTACATGTTGTCTCCTCTGATGGATTAGAGGCTCCCTGAAAGCAGGAATTGTTTCATTTTTTTGCCTTTGTATCCCTTAGTCCGTAGCATATTGACTGGCATGCAATAGCTGCTTAATACTTGCTTGCTAATTGACTGACTGCTTGACACCCTCTTTTTCACTCATGCATTTCCCTGCTGACATCCCTCATTCTAGGTGTTAAAAATCTGGTGAATTATTTCCCTCAGATCATAAAGTATTATGAAATGCAAACCTCTTCTACCCATGCCTTCAGCTTTGATGTTGGTTATTTCCACTCCCTGGGTAGTAGGTAGAGTGCTGGACGTGGAGTCAGAAAAAGTGAGTTTGAATCCTGTCTCAGACATTAGCTTTGTGGACATGGGCAAGATGCTTAATTCTCAGGGGCAGCTAGGGGGCGCAGTGGATAGAGCACCGACCCTGGATTCAGGTGGACCTGAGTTCAGACTGAGCTCAGACACATAACACTTACTAGCTGTGTGACCCTGCGCAAGTCACTTAACCCCATTGCTTCACCCCCCCCCCCAAAAGATGCTTAATCCTTCTCAGCTTTGGTTTCTTCATCTGTGAAATGGGGATAATTATAGCCCCTACCTCACAAGGTTGCTCTAAGGATCAAAGGTGATGTTTGCTTTGCAAACCTTAAAACAGTATATAAATGTCAAGATTTACTGTTATTGTTGTTACACGCTGGGTTAGTTTGTTATTCTATAAATCTGGCATGGATATTTAGCGATCGGGGCCATCACATGCCTGTCTACCCTTCAAAAGCTCTGAGAACTGATCATAACATCAACAGACTCAGTTCTCTGAGCTTTAATCCAGATGTCGTCACTAAAGAAACACTGACAGGCAGAGGAAGGCATTCTAGGCTCATCTTAAAATAATTTAAAATTGCTTATTAGCTTCATGCTTGTCTCTGTGGGGAGTGCCCAAGTGCACATAAAGGCACTGCCTCTGCGTTCTTAAAAGTGGGGGGGAAAGCTGATTCATCCACTCCTCCACTTAGTTTGCAATAAAGAAAGAAACACGTGCCTTGATTTGGACCTTTAAGAAGTGGCAGAGACCAGTGATGTTACCGGGCAGTCTTCGTCCACATTTCACGTGCCTGATTAAAACGCAGAAGAGTAAACCGGTGGAGTAGACTAGAAAAGCCAGAAACCGAATCCATCAGAACTGTCACATCCAGTGCTTTGGCAAAGCAGAGCGCCTCAATTCCTGGAGGCAAAACTCCTTTGTTGATACGAACTGTTGGGAAGACCAGAAAGCAGCTGGGTAGAGGGCAGACTCAGGCCCTGTACCTTTCACTATCAGGACCAGCGGAAGAACTTTTATCCAAACAAGGACGGAGGAAATCAGAAAAGACAGAAAGACAGTTCTGACCACATAAAACTGGAAATGGTTTGCGTGATAAAATCAAGGCCTAAATGAGAAGTGAAATGGTAGAGGGGAGACAACATATTCATTAGCTATCACCAACAAAAGTCTGATGTCCAAAGTAATGGGAATTCACACAAATTTAGGACATCGAGAGCCATTCCCCAATAGAGAAGCAATCAAAGGATGTGAATAGTTTTCAAAAGGAGAATTTCAAACTATAAATGACTACATGAGAACCCATTCCCAATCACTGACAGGAAGAGAAATATATTTGCACAGTTAAAACTCAGGTTTCATGTTGCACCCTGATAATTGGCAGTGATAAAAAAGAAGAGAAAAGGATGTTCTAAGAAATTCTAGAGACACGCCTGTCTCCTGGGATGCCGACAGTTCCGGTGTCCTGAGAAATCTGGGCAACGTGTCAGAGCTGGACTACCTCTGTCCAAAAAGTTAGTAAGCCACAATGTAAGGCCACTTGGCTGAGGTTGCAAATGACAGTAAATTGGAATTTCTGGGCCACAGTGACAGCTGGCACTGTGATAAAAACGGCTGGGGCAAGTTCAATGGCCAGGTATCACCTACTCCCTTGGGCTTTTTTTCTAGAGATGAGGATTTTAAAAGGTCCCAGTGTGGTAGAATGGGCCAGAGGACCTGGATTCAAATACTGCTTTTGTTACTTATTCCCTATATGTCCATTGGCAAGTACCCTGGGCTCCACGGGCCTCAGACTCCCCATATGTAAAATGGGGGTTTTGGACAAGAGGAGGATCTTCTGAAGACCCTTCTAGCTTTAACTCTATGATCTTTGGTCCTAAAGCCATTAGAAGACACGAGAGCCAGAAACCACAGCCCCGCATTTCATCTGTTTCAATTGTTAATTTCAAGATGAAAATGATTGTCAAATCGACTACTATAAAACCTAAAATAATTTGATATTCAAGTCAATGCAACAAGCCTCTGTGGAACTTCACCCTCCGCTTGTGGTTCTGCCCTCCAGGTCCCAAAGGCATGAGTCTAATTCCTTCTCCACCACATGGCAGCCCTTCTAATAACTGAAGACACGAGCATGCCCTCTTCACCAGGCTGACTGCTTCCCAGTTCCTTCATGGCCAACAGGGCCTTCCCCATCTTGGCTGCCCTCCTCAGGGCACCCTTCCTGAATCATGGCCTCCAGGAATGAAGAGGAAGCTCTGCCCGGGGCAGAGGACGCGGGGCCATCACCTCCCACTCCTGGAAGCTGTGCCCCATTTAATGCAGCCCAAATTTGCATGTATTGGGTGACGCATCACCCTACCAATCTATTGAGCAAGCAGACCATTAACTCCACCATCCCAATCTCTTTCAGAACCATGGTTGTCTTTATCCACCCCTCCCCATCTTGTATCTAGGAAGTTACCCTGACGTCCTCCCCAGCAAGACTTCGCATTTACCTAGAAAATTACAGGGGGTGGGGTGACAAGCCACGGAGGCTGGGATGCAGACAGAGCTCCCGCACTAAATTCTCCTGCGCTCTTAAAATTCCCTTTTCTGTGAGAGTCTTGCCCTTCCACTCACTCATCACACGACACTGTTTGCAGGATCGTTCACAGTAGCTTCCTTACCTCCCGACAAGGCTGTGAGCAGCAAGAGGGCCGGGAACACATCCCTAAGCTCGTCATCCCCTCCCCAAGCACCCGGCACCCTGCTCTACACACGGCGGGGCCTTGTTCCCTGAGTCACGGAATGCTGCATATCACAGCTGACTCCATGACATTGACATTCTATTTATGCAAATGACAGGGAACACCTCCCACTGGCCGCGGCTCCCCGGGGGCGGGGACTGAAGGTCACGGGGTCTCCCCCAGGTCCAAACCTTAGATCCTGCGCTGGAAACTCTGGGGCTAGCTAGGGAGCCGCGCACATGCGCACTGAGTCAATGCACGCACGACAGCAATCGTGGATTAAGAAATTACTGACATTTAAGTCCTTGCAATTCCAGGGGAGGGGTCGGCTGTCAGGGCCCACTATAGTGAGGGTGCCTGCATCTCGAGGGGGCATACAAGGTGGAAGGACGCCGCCTTGGGAGGTGGAGGATCTAAGTTCGACTGCTGACCGGACCCTCCCTGCATGACCTTAGGGAGTCACCTCAGTATGCTCAGATATAAAATGGGCTGGATGTGGGCTCCTCCCCCTCCCAGACCACCCACGGCCGCCCAAGAAGGCCTTGGAAGGTGCCGCTGCCCCCCCACCCCGCCCCCATCACGTGGTCCTCCTTAGGGCGCGCAGCAGACGCACAGAAATGTCCCTCTTCGCGACCCTTACTCATCGTCGCTGCCGCTGCCGGAGAAGTACGACGAGCCTCGGCTCCCGCCGTCGCCGCTCTCCCCGCTCTCGGCCTCCTCCTCCTCCGGCGAGGCGGGGGCGCCCCCCGGCCGGGCCGCGGCCGCCCCATCCTCCGTGCTCCCCGCGGGCAACGGAGGGGCCTGCCCGTGCAGCCCTTCGGGATGGGCCGCGGAGGTGCTCCCGCCCGACATGTCTGGGAAGCCAGGCCGAGAACGCGGGCCGAGGGCGGGGCCCCGGGCCACGTGGACACAGCCGGCTGTTTCTATTGGCTGCTGTGAGGTCGCCTAGGAGACGGGGAAGCTTCCAGGCTCTGGAGGGAAAGAGGGGAGAGGAGGGAGGGCGGGAGGAGAAGCTAAGGGAGGGAGGAAGAAAAGAGAGAAGAGGAAGGGGGAGGAGAGAAAAAGGAGGGGAGGAGGAGAGGGGAAAAGAGGAAGGAGAGAGACGAAGAAAGGGAAGAGAAGGGGAGGAAGAGAGGAAAGAGGAGGAGGGCAGAGAAGAGGAATGAGGAGGGAGGGGCACAAAAAGTAGGAAGGGGGGGAGGGGGAAGAGAGGAAAGAGGCCAGGGAAGGGAGAAGGTAGAGGGGGAGGAGGAGAGGGGAAAAGGAGGGAGAGGAGAGAGTAGGGGAAGGAGGCAGTGTGATGCAGTTGAAGAGGCACAATTGGAAGTCAAGAGAGATCTAGATTCGTTTTCTGACTCGGCTCCTTACAACCCACGTGACCTTGGGCAAGTCCTTTTACTTGACAGTGCCTCAGTTTCCTCAACTGTAAAATGAGGGGGTTGGACTAGAAGGGGAAAAACAAGAAAGGATAGCCCCTTCTGAGGGACACCGGGGCTGCTGCTCCTCTCTCCCCCTGTCCTCTGACCTTTGTCTCCCCGGCATCCTTAGCACATCCTGAGAAAGGATAGGGCTCATGACAAGTGATCGGCCAGTATGGGCTTGAAGGGGCCCTCCGAGACCATCTGGTCTCATCCGGAGCTTCTGGTCAACGAGGCCCAGTGCTCCTGGATGCCTGAGCTGCAGAGAACTGGTGTAGCACAGTGGGGTAGTAGAAAAAACAGTGGACAAATCATCTTTATCATCAAGGATAATTGCGCACATCTCTATGTCACTTTAACATTTACAAAGTACTAGGCTTCCTTACAGCTGCCTTGTGATGTAGTCAGAAGATCCTGGACTTCCCCTTTCAACTCAGCGGATTGAGCACTTACTGTGTGCTGTGCACAGTGCTAGGTGGTGGGTATACAAAGACAGAATAGTCCCTGCCTTCAAAGAGCTTCTGTCTTATTGGGGGAGAGAGAGAAGTAACATGTGCACGCGTACATAGAAATAAAATATGTAACTAAGTAAATAGAATTCTCGGGTGTTGGGTCGCCTCTTAGCTGTTTGACCACCGGCATGCTGTTCACAGCCTAAGATCATAGGATTTGCGCTACGGAGGGTGTTTGTTAGCATGGATGTCAGGGAAAGGTTGCAATCTCTCCTGTGGAGATTGCTGTGTTTCCAATCTGACCTCTTGACTTTTCCCTCCCAAACCCAGGAGTAGGATCATAGTGGAATACCCCGGGGGATCCCCTTCCCTTGACTTGCACTCTCACAAGGCAGGTTCCTCAGAGGATGACTGTGCCAGGTTCAAGATACACCTAGAATTACAGTTCCCACCCACTGAGTTTACGTTTCAATATTCATCCAATTAGGATGAAACAAAGGCATATGCTGGAATAGCAGAATAAGATAATAATTTAGGGCACACTTCCCCACAAGAATACACACTACCCAAGTACGGATCGCAGGCACGAGCACACGTGGGGAATGCTTGTGACTCCCTTGACACTTCGGGTCCCTGTTATCTCTCCTGCTTTCCCTGTACTGCTCCTCAGCTGGGCCACTTGCTCTGCTGGCCATGTGGTTCTAGTGGTTGGCTTTGGTCTGCTTCATCTCCAGCCTCTGGCTCAGCAGAAGGCCTTGCCTGGGGCACTGCTGTGGGCTCTCTGAATGAACCCCTACCCTTGGACAAGTAGCAAGCTGTCAACTCTGAGGCCTGCCCTCCCTTGAGCCCCAGCTCCAGGTGCCCAGAAAGGGTGGGGTTCAGGAAACAAGGCCCTTGAATCTCCCTCTCAGGCTATGCCTAAGCGCAGGTCTTCTACGGCCATCTACAGAAAGATGTCTTTGCCACTGGGAGGCGATGGGAAGGAGGGGAAATAGAGAGAAATATCCCCCCCAACATACACTTGGGGTCCTCTTCAAGAAGTTCAAGAGAGAGCCCAAGAGCTTAATCCTTCCTCTATTGCTGATTCCAGAAAAGGTGATTAACTCTTCAATTGACTCAAGGGTCATTTCTCAGTTTTAAAAATCTCAATCTCTGCTATCACCCATGTCAATGAATAGACAAAGGCAAACTATTGAGGCAGTTGACACCCAGTAGCAAGCCGATTGTCATTGACAAGTATAAGATCTTAGATCTTGAACTGGAAGGGGGCTCAAAGGTCATCGAGCCCAACCCTCTCATTTTACAGATGAGTAAACTGAGGCCCAGGGAATTTGTGACCTGCCCAAGTCACATAGATAGTGACAGTCATAATTTGAACAAAGGTCCCTTGACTCCAAAGCTACAGGTGCTTTTAGTGGAAGACTCTCGCAGTGGTTACAAAGGGATTTTCCCCCCATCCTGAGTTCTTGTGCTGATTAAGCTAACTCTTCCACGTGAAGACCTCCCCAAATTCAATAAACTCAAAGAATTTCTCTCCAGTGTTCTCTGACGTACAATGAGGTGACATTTGTCGCAGAAGGCTTTCCTGCACTCATCACCTTCAAAGGATTTCTTTCCAGTGTGAGATAAGTGATAACCTCATGCTGAAAATTTCTGCACATTCATTATACTTAAAGGGTTTTTCTGTGGAGTGAATGATTTGATGTACATTCAGTTTCTACCTCCACCCAAAGGTTTTGCCCCATTTATTACACTCAAATCCTCAGCCTCATTTCCTGATTTTTCGTATGCAAATGACCAAAGACTAATGTCCTGTAATTTCATGAAGTGGATTGTGGGGATTATTCTGATGGGTGGTTAGGGGAGCTGATCAACCTCATACCAACAGGGTCATATATTTAGAGCTACAAATAACTTTAGTGGTTCTCATGAATAATCTTATTTTACAGCCGAGGAAGTTGAGGGAGAGAGGTGAGGTGAGAGCTGGTGTTCAGATGTAGGTCTTTTGTCTTCGAGTTCAAGGCTGTTTGCTCACAACCTCCCAAGGTTGTTGTGAGGATCAAATAAAGACGGTATTTTAAAATCCTTAGTACAGTACCTGGCTTATGGTAAGTGCTATTTTTTTTTTTTTGTTTAGTCATTTTCAGTTGTGTCTGATTCTTCATGACCCCTTTTGGGGTTTTCTTGGCAAAGATACTGGAATGGTTTGTCATTTCCTTGTCCAGCTCATTTTACAGATGAGGAAACTGAGGCAAATGGAGTTAAGTGACTTGCTCAGGGTCACACAGCTAGTAAATGTCTGAGGCTGGATTTGACCTCAGGTGCTCCTGACTGCAGGCCTGGTGCTCTATCCACTGCACCACCTACCTGCCCCGGGTGCCATATAAAGGTTAACTAGTGATGATGATGATGATGTAGGTGCTTAATGTTTTTTTTTTCCCCATTGCCTTAAGCTGCTCAAAAAGGAAAGAAACAATTGACTGAAAAAAATTCTAACACCTATCCCAGAATAGAATGAACTGCCTCAGGGGAGAGTGAGTCACTACAAGATGGTCATTAGTTAGAGAGGTTTTCAGTGGGTAAGGACTGGACTAAATGACCTCTTCAATTCCCCAAAGCTCCAGGACTCTGTATTCCCACTCTCCCATTTTACAGATTAGAAAGACAAGGCCCAAAAGAGAGATGTGACTTGGCATGGGTTCAGAGTCTCTAACTGTCATACTACCGAATGATAGCTGGGTACGGTCCTGCCCAGATCCCTCAGGGGAGTAGAATCAGGGGTTCTTAGCCTTTTAGGTGCCAGGGACCCCTTTGGCAGCCCAGGGAAGCCTATGGGTCCCTTCTCAGAACTGTATTTTTAAATTCATAAAATACATAAGATCATACAAAGGAAACAAACTAATTAGAGTGAAATACAATTAACGATGTTTAAAAAGTTAAAACCCCAGGTTAAGAACTCCTGGATTAGATGATACCAAAGGAGGCTTTCAGCTCTTGACTTCTAAGATTCAGTCATTGACTCTGTTTCCTTTTTCTGTTCGGGCATCCCAAGGTGGCAGCCTCTTTGTCCTCATCCCTTCCACCTCACTTCCGGGTCCTTTGAGCAAAGAGTTGAAGGGGCTGACGCTCTAGCTGAATAAACACCTCACTTAACCCTTTCTGAGCCTCAGTTTTCTCATCTGCAAAATGGGAAGAATAATAAATGCACTGGTTAATGTCTGAGGCTTTCGTCAAGGAGGAAGGTGCTTTGTAGATGTCAGAGTGCCACAGATATGTGAACGAAAATGAGATGCCCTGTAATATTCCAGCTGCAAAGAAGACACTCCCTATGGGTCAGGGAAAGCTGCTCTTTATAACCCTGGTAGGAGGTGGGAGTTTAGCATCACTCAGAAACCACGTGTGCGGCCAGCACAGCTTAATAGCTTGCTGGCTTAGTTGGTGACAGACAGTTCTATCCACAGACATGGACGCTGCCAGCACTTGAAAAGGTCAATCCAGTTTTATGTGAGTTTCGCTTCTAAAGTAGACACTTCAAAACAACTTGCTAAGAGCAGGCTGATGTCTCACAGAAGGAATTTTAAATCCTAGTGGATAAAATAGTGAAGAAACAACTTCCTCCCTCCCCGATCAATCAATAAACATTTGCTAAGCACCTACTATGTGCCAGATGCTGTTCTAGGCATTGGAGATAGAAACACAAAATAGTAATAATAGCTAATATTTATATAGTGTTTATTATGTGCCAGGCACTGTGCGAAGTGCTTTATAACCTTGGGAGTTGTGATTGCTGTTATTAATGGAAGAGGTGCTAGCAGCTGGTGGGGATCAGGAAAGATGGCCACTCAGGAAGAATTGACTTTAGACTAATTCTAAGAGCCAAAGGTGAGGAGGGAGTGCAACCCAGGCATGGCAGGCAGCATGGGCAAAGTCCACGAGACAGGAGTGTCTTATGGGGACAGCAAGTAGGTCTGTGTGGCTGGCT